AAATATAGTCCTAAAAGAAACGGATGGTAAAAAAAGAAAAATCAAAGAAGCGGCTCTAATTATGCTAAATGAGACCAATTGTGTCGCAAATTCCTCGGCAGAATGTAGTAGGATCTGGTTACCAATATTGAAAGAGGAAGTTATTAATAAGAAAATACCAGTATTAGTAAGTCAGTAACATATAGAGGATACATCATTTATGTTTTTTAAATAACGTAACATATAAAATCAGAATTTTGATGTTTGTTGAAGGTAAACTAAATTCACGAACAAATACTTACAATGTCGGATAGTATTATGAGGTTTTTTTCCTGGTTTTTCCCTCATAATTTACTATGGAATCACTAACAGGAGAATTTTACTGTCATCATGTCATGTGTTTGTCTTTTTAAAGACGAATTACATGCTATGATTTTTTCTGACGGATATTCTCAAGTTAAAGTTGATTTCATGTAATCGAATGAACTATCTTATAAGTAAAGTCGTCCCAGGAGCGCAACTCAACAATATTGGCAATATCATTTTAAAGTCGTCTACTTTAAAATGCATAATGTATGTCTGAATTGTCAATATAAATGAGTCAGATAAAATTAAATTATTAGAAGAATTTTTTCACTATGTAACAAAAAACAAAATTTGTTTAATTTACTGTTTGTATTTTGAGAACGATTTCCGAATTGGAAATTGAAACGTCAATAAACGTATTTTTTATCTTTAATTGTGGCTTATTCCCAGTTATAAATAGTAATTAATTCAAATTGTTAATTCAAAATTTCAAAAAGTTAATTCATTGGTCAAAGGATAAGGATAAAGAAATGCACATTATAATAGAAAGCATAAGCTGACATATACTTATATTTATAATTTATAATAGTGAAGAATCTCCACATCAGTGTCAAACTTAGTACATGTACGTCAATCTAAATTTGCTTTACCAGATGAAACCAGATTCGACAATATTGGCCATATTACAAAAAGAGACGATAGTGCAAGAATGTAGGATGTGCAAAAGTACTACTATTTATTTATGTAAAAGGTGTAGTATGCATCTACACCCCGAATATTTTGAAAATTTTCACCTTACAATTTAATTTACAATTAGATGCAATATGTTCCTTTATTAAAAATTGTACTGTTTTCCTTGAAAATGAGAAAAACCCCTGTAAGAATTTACTACTGACATTTTACACGGATGCCGCTACCGTTTAGTTCAATTTGTAGATTAGTCACCTTTAATTGAAAACTGTCCGACCATAATGTTCATTGAACACGGAAATTCAAAATTTAACCCAAGGGAATATCTTGGACATCCGTGCAAAACAAAAATTTTAAATTATCACCTAAATTTTTTTTTTTTTTTTTTTATTTAAAATTAACGTGTCTCGACAGCTTATGGTCATTGACACGGGTACAGTAGTTTACAACATTATACATATTTTATATAGGTATAGGTACAAGAATTTAATATCAACATTTTTTTTTATATAGAAAGGTTAGAACAATAAAGCTTATCACTATGCACTGTTTATATTAGCTGAAATAAACTTGTTTCTCTTTAAAAATCTAAGAACACTGTCAAAACGGTTTGGAACACTGAGAATGTCTTTTAGATTTCCTTTTAGGCTGTGCTTGTTTCTGGAAGAGTCATACTGGCAGCAGTCCACTATCACGTGTTTGATGGAAAGGACGTTATTACAGTAGTGGCATACTGGAGGGTTTTCTGATGCCATAAGGTATCCATGAGTGAGGCGTGTATGCCCTATTCGTAGTCGGTGAATAACTGATTTTTCTTTCCTGTTCATAGAGGAGATATTGACGCGAGATAAGTTGGGCTGAACTTCATGGAGCTTAGTTTTTGTTTTACTCCACAGGTCCGCCCATGAGCTGAGGATTTTTTGTTTTATCAATATTTTAAGATCCGTATGGATTTGGACCTCTTGGAAGGCTATGTCAGAAGAACATGCTGCTTTAGCGGCTTGGTCTGCTTTTCGTTTCCCAATATACCAACATGAGATGGAGTCCAGATCATTATGACTTTTATGTTAGCAGAATATAGTTGGTTACAGATAGTGTGGGTTTCCTGGACTAGTGGGTTTTTCGAGAAAATGCATCTTATTGAATAAATCGAGGAAAGAGAATCAGTGCAAATGGCGATTTTTATGCTTTCATTTGAAGTAGGACGGATTGAAGTCTTTAATGCTTGGAGTATTCCATATAATTCTGCGGTATAGATACTACAACTTTTAGGCAATCGCACAGAGCTTATTGTCGTCGTCAGTGTGGACACAGCGGAGCCACAACAGTCTTCATTCTTGGACGCATCGGTGTATAAAATTTCATCAAATTGTGTTAAGTTAGGGATGTTTTGGAAGGATTTTCTAAGGATTAAGTTTGGGGTTTCTGTTTTGTCGAATCTGCATAAATCTGTATTGAATATTGGAAGATTGTGCATCCATGGAGCTGTCTTGGGGTATAAATAGAAGTAGTATTGGAGAGGTTGATGGAATCTAATAAAGGAGATAATATTTGTGGTAATGTGAGAGACTGATTGGAAGCGTTTACTGGGGGAGGTTCTATGGGATTGATTAGATTTATTACCGGGTTACTTGGGTTTGCTGATATTCTTACAAAGTATGAAAGTAGAAGCTGCTGCCTTCTTAGATGGAGTGGTGGCTCTGAAGATTCAACGCACAGACTTTCAGCGGGGCTTGATTTGAAAACACCGATGCATAGTCGTAGGGATGTATTTGAATCGTGTTTAGAGACTTTAGTAGGGAGCTACTAGATGTCATATAAAGAATACTGCCATAATCTAGCTTAGAGCCAATTAACGCTCTATATATTTTAAGAAGAGATTCTTCGTCAGCTCCCCAAGAGAAGCTAGCAAGAGATTTAAGTAAATTGATTATTTGGGTACAGTTTCCTTTAAGTTTCTGAATATGCTGTCTCCAGATAAGCTTTTTATCAAAGGTGATACCAAGAAGTGTCAAATAATTAACTGTTTGTAAACGAAGTCCGTTTAGAGTTATAGAAGGTGGATTAGGTCTATGCTTTTTGGTAAAGTGAATTACTTTGGATTTAGGAGCTGAAAACACAAATCCAGCTACGTGTAGACCAGGTGTCTATTTTGTTTATTGTGTTTTGTAGCAAAGTGCTTGTGGTAGCTGTGACTCTGCCTCGGCAGTATAATATAATATCATCAGCATATATCGAGTACCTGACTGGTGGTTCTATATATGAGGAAAAGTCATTCATGCTAAGTAAAAATAAGGTAGTGCTTAAGACTGAGCCCTGAGGCAAACCGTTGTCCAAAGCGTGTGGTTTTGATATTTTTCCATTTGTTAATACTCTAAAATATCGACTTGTTAAAAAATTTTTTAAAAATAAATAAATGTTACCAGTTAAATTATATTCCGTTAATTTTCTTAGAATTAGAGGTCTTTGTACAGTGTCGAAGGCACTTTGGATATCTAAAGTTACTGCTATGACTTCGCTTCTATTCGAAAATGCATTAACAATGTCAGTATGTAATGTGACCAGGTTATCCATTGTACTTCGATTTGATCTGAAACCTGTTTGGAATGGGTCAAGAATATTATTTCTTTCTAGATACCATAGTAAGCGTTTATTGACCATCTTTTCTAACAGTTTACATAGTGAACAAGTGAGAGAAATTGGTCTATATGATTTTAGAAGATTTGGAGATGAGTCATTCTTTTTAATAGGAATTGTAGTTGCTTGTCGCCATAACGTTGGGAACTGGTTTTGAGACCAGATCTTATTATACAACTCTAGCAGTTTGAGATGTGTGTCTGGATGGAGATTTTTTAAAAATATTGATGGGATATCGTCAGGACCGGCTGCTGAGTTTTTTAATGAAGATATGGCTTCGTTTAATTCTAGGAGATTAAAAGGAAGATTCATAGAGCTGGTGTTAGAAAATATTTTGGGGCTGGAAATGTTGGTGTCTGAGTTATTGGGAAGATTCGGAATATTTGACTTATCTGAAAAGTGAGAGGCAAAGATATCTGCAATATGTTGATCATCGGTAACTGTATGATCCTGCAGGGAGATGGCGGCTATTTTGCTGGAAGTATTATGACCTTTTATGAATACTATTTGTAAAATACGCAAAGAAGCTGCGCAAAGAAGACTAATGACCGTAAAAAACAAGAAAACGTACCAAAAGTAGAGTGAACAGTGGAAAGTTTACTTACTACGCAGTCGTTCATACGCGGCTCCGCGCCATCGTGCATAGATTTTTCTTTAAAAATTTACCACCGGCATTAAACACAGTTTTTGCACTGATTAAAAAAGATAAAGATTTTGCAAACATGTCAGGCACAATAATGTGAAGAATACTTCATGAAATTAACTTCGTTTTTTGCAACAAGGAGTAAAGTCGACAATGATTTAATGGCCTGATATTCTGAAATGGCATCAGTGTTTGCGTGAAAAAATTTCGTTTCCAAGGATACACCGTCGTTTATTTGGATGAAACTTGGGTGAATGTCGGACATAGCGTTTCCAAAGAATGGTGGGACCTCTCAGTAGCCAGGGATGCATCTATTAAGGGGTTATAAGCTGCTTACTAATTTTCCAGAGAAAACTGTGGTGATGGACAACGACTCGTATCATTCGAGGAGAGAAGAAGACATGGTTGCTGAGGAAATTTTAAAAGCTATTTTAAAAAGGTCAGAGCTTATGGAAGTCGTAAAACACATTCAAAGAAGAATACATACAATATCAAATCGACAAAATGTGCAAAAAGAAAAATGTTGCCATTCTGAGCCTACATTAATACCATTGTGAGTTGAATCCAATTGAAAAAGTATGGGTCAAGTCAAAAGACATTTCATCATACAAAACATAATTTAAGACCGCCGCAATGAAACAAGTAATAAGAAATGCATTTGGTGTAGTAACAGTGTAGGACAACTGGAAAAACTAATAAACTTGCTATTAAGGAAGAGTAAACATTTTGGGTTATTGGCAGATTGATGGACCATATTGATCCTGTGTTATTAAATGTGACGGTTGACAGTGATGGTTATGACAGCGATAGCGATGAGAGTAATTGCGACGACAGTAATAACGATGATGTTAATATGCAGTGAGTAAATCATGTGATAGTGTGAAAATCGGCGGACACAAAGTGCCTAATCCGAAAAGTATGTAAGTGAAAGTCCAGAAAAAACTGAAAATTAGGTAATAGTACGAAACATTTCAAATAAACATTATTTTTAAGGGGAATGCATGTTACATACAAGAAAAATTTGTATGCAAGTAATTGTTGTTATTATTTACATGCAAATGAAATAAAAGTTGCATTTCTTTTTTTATCTTTTAGTTAAATCTTATCTAAAGCGCTAATAAACATGTAATGTTAAACAATCGTAAAAAAAACTAATTTTATTAGACCTGTAATAATTACATACCTATATGTCTATTAAAGAAACAAGTATTTACAATGTATTAGTCTGTATTCCACTATACGTATCCTCTTATTGTCATCAAGTGCCCTAAGCTATCGAGGGCAATAGAAAAATTGTGTATAAATATTTGCACAATTTTCAAGTCGATATCAGATAAACAGGAATAAAGCGGAGATGCGCTGTCCTGAGTTTTCACATACGGTTAGGCTTGGCTGATTGTTGTGCCTCTATAGCGAATCAGATTGCTATAGGGGGGAAAGGGATGGTCTAGAGCATTGGAGCACGGTGGGGTGATTCCTGTTTTTTAAACTCGAATTAAAACACCTTGCTCCAATGAATTGTTACACCCGATCGTACTACCTGGGTGAACATTTCTCATAGGCTGGGTTCAATCAAATTGCTTGAGTCGATATCAGATCACCTCGATCACTCTACGGACTACGACCTTACCTAGAGCATCGTATGCTCTAGGAGGTCGCTGGTCGGGGCTTTGTCTTATCTTTAGACTCTGTAGTTGGTCTATACAACAACCTGCGTTTTTATTTCATTCTTCGGTGCAAGTGCACATAAGAAAACCTGCAAAGTATTTTTCATGTAAGAAAATTCGACTATTTTTTTTCAAGACTTAGTCCAATTTACATCAACATCCGAAACTGAATTGGATAAGTGCCTAGGGTATATCGTACACATACACACGAATACCCTAGTGCAGACCCTAAAGCGGAGTAGACAATTTTATAGGTCTTACTCCTGCTAAGACGACATTATTAGTGAAATTAAGTTAACTACATCTACACATTTCTGAATACGGCTCTAATTAAAATGACTCATATCGACAGTCACTGATCTGCATATGCTAAACGTTCTGTTCTTCACGTAAAGTAAAGTAAATAAACAATAAAGGCGGAAAAAATTAGTTGGCTTTTATGACTTCGGAAACCTAAGAGAAAAGATAATGAATTTTAACCCATTAAATAAAAAATAACAAGTATAGCCCTAAAAATAATTAAAAATCCACTCACAATAATAAATATGTATTGATAGAACCTGAAAATGGACAAGAAAACAAGTTTGGGGTAAGATAAAAGAAAAAGTTGAAGTAGTAAGATGAACATGTAGAAAACAGTAATAGAAAATGGAAAAGGAAATATACTATACAACAAAAAACAAGTGAAAAGGGAGCAAAATACTTATTTCGAATTTCAGAAATTACATGAAATTTCAATTTTGAGTTTTGGCAACAAATATAAGGAAACTTTTAGCTGAAGTTGTGTCGTTTTGAAATACGTACTTTACATTTGAAAAGAAGCAGCTTTAATCGTTTTATTTTAAGTATAAAGTCGCTGAAAAAATTGCAACCCAGCGGCAGTTACAATTGCAACTCATCGAGCGAAGCACATTGTTACCTTCAAAGGGTCTGCCTTGAAATTCCAAGATTCGCCAGCATAAAGCGACTAAATGAAATCAAAAGTAGAAATATTCAGCTTCAATTTCTCGTTTCGAACGTCCTGAAATACGGTCGTATTTCGAAAGTTATATGATATGTTCCTGTGGAAAATAAGGAAATCGTTATATTTGGCGTTTAAAGCGTTTTCTTTTTCGATTGCAACTGTACGTATTTCAAAACAACGCAACTTTAGTTACATAATACAGCAAGTGCTGTCTTCGTGTAAGCATTTTCCGTAACATGAGATCGTTTGTAATGTGAAAGTTTAAATTCAGAATTTCTTAGTCATTTTTCAAATGTCTCATATTTGTTTTATGTGATGGTTTAAAGATTAGACTATAACAATGGAAAAACGACCAATCAATGGAAGTGACAAATTTTATTGATCTCATAAGAATAGTAAAACATGGCAAACGTTGTGCAACGTTTATTTATTTAACTGCTTTATAGAAACTGAATTCCTTTACGGCAAAATGCAAATATTCCATACGAAAACTGCACTCTGCATCTTTAAAATGCATTTTGATTTTTGTCGATACAACTTCAAACGTTGTTTCTGAGAGAACTGGTTCATTCTACACAAAAATTGCTAAATAAACATTTTTGTTTAAAACTATATTTTGTTACATTTTCGACAAGAACTTGGATTTATTACAGCTTTTTACTGACAACTTATGTTTTAGTTATTTGTACATATATTTACACGAAATATATAATTAAGATTTTAGTGGAAGTAGGTTTGGTTGTAGCTTCAGCTCAGAAATCGTCAAAGTGAATTTCTGAGAGAACACTTCCTTATTAATTGGATGCTAGTTAGGTCTCTAACGTTTCTGCTTCCCACATTAAGTAGTTAGAGAGGAACGAAAGAAAAAGAATGAAATTTTTCTAAATCGTTTAGAAAATTATTAGTTTTAAAAAACTTTGGAGAAATATTTTTAAATTATATGTATATGTTGAGGTTTCTTAGCGAATTAGCTTTTTGGCTAAGTGGCGCTCGTTAGACTAATAAACTTAAAGTCTCCGCCCTCTTTTCTATAAAGCTGAAAAATCCAGCTTTATAGACAATTTTCAAACGTTTTAGTCTATAAAGATAAAATCTTGAGTTTCTTAAACCCGGTGTTCACTCTACATCTTATTGTACGTTTTGTTGGATAGGACAAATCCTATACATTAAAACGTGGCATGTAAACAGCAAAACGTACGTCTTATCGAATCGAAATGAAATCCAATGTCAAATTGCAGAAATGATAGGAGAAGCATAGTTTTGCGAGAACTGATAAGATAAAACGTTACGTGAAAATACATGTTCAGTTGACGACTAGCTCCACTGCCAAAAAAAGCTTAATAATGTCAGATTTGCGGCAATGCACCCACGATTTTCTCGGAGAATTTATTGAATTGTATAAAAGTTTTCCGTGTTTAGGCAAGTGAAAAATAAAGACTATAGTGACCGTAATAAACAAAAACGTCGGGTATAAGTTTTTTTAGTCTTAAAGGGAAAAAAATGCTTAAGTTTTATTTTATTCTTTTTGGTATTTAAATTAAAGAAAAAACATTGTTTTAAACCTCTACCTATTTATAACTAATAAACAAATAGTAGTTTAGCTTCAGTTAGTGGTAGTTGTTTTAAAACCAAATAGATGGGATTACAGGTTTCAGGAATTATTTGGCTTAACGCTGGTTTGGTTATTATGGTTGTGAACTCCAAGTTCTTGAGGCTGCGTCCTGTTGCAAAATATCTGAGATTTGCTGTGAGTCTTCAATAGGCTGAGGTGTCCATTTGCAAATAATTGGGCCAGTCATCTGGTTCGCGTCTCAGTTCTTTTAGTAACGAGAAGTTCTTTTCAGAAGTCACTCTCTTGACCATATTGTCTTTCTCTCTTCATCCCCTTTTTCCTCAGTCGTAGTATCGTTTTAGTTGAGAGCGTGTTCCCTCCATAATAAAAAAAAACTGGTGTGGCAGTCCAGTAGGACTGCCGGTAGAAGTTATACTTCTACACACGCGTTCGCCATTACAAATTTATATGGGAGTCAATCTGCACAATCATTACATATGTAATGCTATAAGTAAGAGAGAGCAGAAAGAGAAAAATCATTAGGTATATAGGTATATGTTGCATCGTTTGCTGTATATAAACATTGGACCTGTAATAGGAGTATAGTAAATGAAGGATTGAATTAATATTTTAATAAAAATATATATTTTTTGTATAAAAGGAGTTGAATGCAAAAAATTTTTTACACATAGTCTGCAGTAAAATTCATTGTTTATTTTGTTATTAATATAAAAATACAATACAAATTAAAATGCAATATTCATAACTTACTTACGCATATGTTTAATTTACCATGATAATAATATAAATAACAAAATAATAATGTTAATAAATATTAAATTACAAAAGAAACATTTTTGTTTTCGAGAGAGAAAATATATCTTCTGTATCTCTCTTACCTATATCTTACATGTATAATGATTTTGCCGATTCACTCCCGTACAAATTTCCAACGTCGAACGCGCGTATAGAAGGATAACTTTAAAAAATGTTTGTGGAAGATAAAAATAAAAAACAAAAAACTCGGATATGTTGTAAATTTTCGTTTTATTTTAAAATTTAGCGTTTTTACGTATATTACATATATTTAATTAGATTAACGTTGGATTTTTAAATATTTCAAAAATAAAAAAGGAAATTCAGATTGGGATTCGAACTCAAATATATCAGCGTATGATCCAAACCCGGGAAAACTTTTGCCAATTGGTCATGACACTGTCGGATTTCAAAATTGACCGTTCTCGGCGATACAGTGATTTATTGTAATTATTATTTTGAAATACGAAAGCCTAAAATAATTATGAACATTTAATAAATAATACAAAACATATCACATAAATAATAATATTAATATATATTATATTATATGTAGAAAATATAATATTAAATATATATACAAAATGAACATTTTTATTCTCGAAAGAGAAAGGGGGAGAAAATATATGTCTCTTATTTAATAAATAAATTATGTCTCTCTCTTACTCATATCTTACATATGTAATGATTTCACCGATTCACTCTCGTGCAAATTTCCAATGTCGAACGCGCGTATAGAAGTATAACTTCAAAATCACTAAACAAACTTCACACAACTCAAGACTCTGAATTAGAAATGAGGTAGAAAACGGAAGGGAAAACGTAGTGTGTATACACTGGATAAAACGTACAATTTGTC